CTGGAGTTTGTCATCAGTCTCTTCAAGGTGTGTGGAGATCTTGTCTATCTTCTGTTCTATCCTTTGAAGGATAGAGTTCTGGGCTTTGGCATTCTCGTTTTGCCAATTAAGTACTTCCTTGGCTTGGCTTAAGGGTTTTAGCTTTCCATTAGGCTCAATTTCTTGTCCCATAACGTGTGGTTTAGTTGTTGTTTTGAACTCTGGGTTAACATTCCTCTCAAGAGGAGGAAATTATTCCTTGTAAGTCGTAGGGTTTATCATCATGCATGAGATGGAAGGAGTAACAAGAGGTGGTTTGGCAAAGGTTCTGCACCGTTCCTATTTCTGAGAGAGAAATTGTTCCTCTCTAAGGATTTCAGCGCATCTCTGATATTTCCAAGAGGGATCTGGCTTCTCTTAGTGATGGAGTCCTATCCATGGACCTTTTTCTGGTTCGAATTTTCTACTGGGAGAGAAAGGAGGTTTACAAGATCCTCCTCTATAATCGTCATCTGAGTCATTGGAGTCATCACTCTCCTCATCGCTAGTGTCTCCAGTGTGGTCGCAACAGTCACAATCAGAATCACACATATCTGGGTCAGCATCCCAGATAAAGTGTCCTCCTATCTTATAAGTGTAGATAGGTTTGTTGTTAGGGTACACGTTATCAATGGGGATCTTGCCCTCTTTGGTGACCGTCGATATCATCATAGATTGAAAGATTGAGGTGCTAGAGCTGGGAACATCTTCAGGTTTTTTGAAGATGTTCTTGACTGTGTCGTCTATAGATCTTCTGAATGTATCCTTCACTTTGTTAGTGTCTGATGAGATCCTTGGGAATCTCAATGTTGACGTACTGTTCTTTTGTGGTGGAGGCAAGGGCACACTGGTCCATCTTGGAGGATTGGACATACTCCTTGACTTGAGGTCTTTTGGTAAAGATAAGTCGAGAAATGGATCTAAGGGTAGATCTTTGTCTCCTAAAAATATTATAAGGACTCAAAAGAGGACTGTAAGTCTCGAAGATCTGGGCATCTTCCGGGACATATGAATACTCTATAAGGTTTTCTATCTTAGAGGAAAGGGTTTTCGAGATATTTTTGAAAAGAGAAAGAGTTAAGTTTAATAGAACGGGATCAAAGTCGGTTGATAGTGTTTGATTATCCATGCTTAAAGGTTTCTCTTACTATTAAAACGAAATTATAACAATAATAAATATGCATTTTGACAAATTAATCAAAACTCTCTTCCATTTTATTTTTCCAAATACTAAATTACTCGTCATTATAAATTGTATTTCCATGTGAAAAAAAGAAATCTTTATGTGATATTAGAAATCTATTAAAAGTTTAAATAATTTATATTTGGTAAATTTAATGAATAAATGTAACAAGTACGTAGAAGAAGATGTATCTCGTTTATTTAATCGATCCACATTAAATTTTGCTGTCATATTTATCTTTCTTTCACTACTACAAAATATATTTTCTACGTCGTCATTTAACATCAGTTATATTGAGACGACGTAGAAAGTACTTTCCACGTCGGTTCCCAGATGAACCGACGTTGAAAGTTGAATATTAAACACATTCTACGTTACTTTCTACGTCTGTTCCCATATAAACCGACGTTGAAAGTCTTTTTTTTTATTTTTTTCACCCAAAAACTCACTTAAATTGTGATCAGCAAGATTCGAACCCAGTACTTTAGAGTTAGAGACTGATACTCCAACCACTAAGCTACTAGAATTTGTTAGAATCGCGCAGCGGAATGTTCGCGTGGTCGGACAAAAACCAAGAGGGGGGGTGAATTGGATTTTTAATAAAAATTAGGTTTTCAAAATTTTCCCCAAATTTTACCGATTAAAAACTGCGTAAATGTAAATAGAGAAGAGTAGAGAAGATTACACAAGTAGGTTTATACTCGGTTCGGATCAAAAGACCCTACGTCCGAGTTGCTAATCACTCAAAAGAGGATTAACGTTGTCACTAAGAACAAATTGTTACAAACAGATTACAAATGAACGAGATAAAGATCGAGAAAACACCTCTCTTGAAATCCACAAGAGATGAAGAACAGACTTTCCCTAGAGACGGCACAGCACACAATCCACTAAGAACTCCACTTAGTGATTCTTATCGCTTCTAGCCTCACACCGAGTTCCAAAAGCCCCCTTTCCTTGCAACAAACAGCTTCTCGACACTCACAACACTTAACTTTTGTATGGAAAGAGTTGTTCTTCTTTTTCCGAGTGCCAAAGCGGAGTTTAAGTAGGGAAATTAGGGTTTAGGAATTGGGGATTTCGAAACTAGGGTTCTTGGTAATTGGGTTTTCGAAAATAGGGTTAATTTGAAATTTAAAATGAAAAACAGATCGAAATAATCGATTATTTGGAGTGATAATCGATTAAAACAGATCCAAATACGTCAGAACCCAAACCTCTCTGGATTAATCGATTATTTGGTGAAATAATCGATTATGTGTATGGATCAGTACAAAACAATCGATTATTTTGTTGTTTTAATCGATTAAAACAGTGACTTAGTATAGAAAGTGGTTTTCTCACTTGTTTTAATCGATTATTTACCTATATAATCGATTAAAGCCGAGCCTGCATGATAAATTTGAGCATTTTGAAGCTTCTAAGTTACGAGACTATGTACCTAGCTATCTTAGACTCTAAAAATACGAGACTCAATCTTAAATAAAACAGAGTTATTACAATACAATTATCACCAATCTTCAATCTTCAATATTCTAAGTCTTTAGTTCTTGGATCATCATCAAAATCCATTCTTCATATTCATCAAGTGCAACATCAAGTCCTTGAATTGTCAACGGAATTTTTCGATAATAACTTACAAATAAATTATATTTATATACAAATAAATATATATCCATGTAAATATATATTTATTTGTATATATTTTCTAGAAAGTATTTTATTTTTATTTTCAGCCAAAAATTCTCTTAAGTTAATGAATTGTCACTTGCTAGCATTTGAACCCAGACATTTGATAATAACTTACAAATAAATTATATTGGTATTTTTCGATCGAGGGTGAAAGTGTGATTGACTCTTGCTTGAGTGAAAATATGTTAAAGCTCACGGAAATTCACTTACTCAAGTCTCAATTGAGCGAAAATTGGTATTTTTCGCTTGAGAGCAAATAATACGTTTCCCAAATTTATTTTATATCATTATATAAATAAAATTATAAAGATTATATTTTGTCATTAAATTACAAACTCATATAAAGATACCTGCTCACAAATTTAGCATCAAATTTTGAAAACCCACTCGACACACACTTTCACTTTCGAGTGTGCCCTCACATCCAACATATAAATATATAACTATATAAATATATCAAAATATATAAATATATTTGTATTTATATATTTATATATTTACATGGATATATATTTATTTGTATATAAATATAATTTATTTGTAAGTTATTATCGGAAAATTCTAGTAGTTTAGTGGTTGGAGTATCGACCTTCAACTCTAAAGTACTGGGTTCGAATCCTGCCAATGACAATTCTCTTAAAAAATTAATAAACTTCTAAAAAATATAATATAAAGAGATGGAGGACCTAATAAAAATATAATATAAAGAGAGGGGAGACTTCTAGATAAATAAAAGAGGGTAAAGGGGTTGTAAATAAATAAAAATTATTAATTTAAAAAATCATACTTTCAACGTCGCTGATACAACGTCGGTTCAACAACCGACGTTGAAAGCCTTCCGAAACCGACGTTAAAAACTTTATTTGTAGTAGTGTTTGTTTTTCTACTTAAATAATGAAAAGTAAAGATATTACTTTTAATCAATCTTAATCTTATAATAGTGGAATACTATTTGGAAGTTTTAATATTATACCAATTTGTTGCCTACCCGTTTTAATTAGTATGTATTGAAAAATGAGTTTTACTCAATCAATTAATGAGTTCATCAAGAAAGATTTTAAAATATTAGAAAAAAAGCATCAACTTAATAAATCACCATAAATATTTAAATTTATTTTATTTTATTAAACTAAAACTCATTGTACATTAATGTAATAGGGGAAAATAATTAATAATAAATAATAGAAATATAAAGGGAAGGATATTTCTATAAAATAAATAAGCTATATAAGTAAAATATTTAATCAATAATAAAAATATTACCGACGGATTCTCGTCCGTTGGTAATTTTATAAAACATTTAGTGACGGATATATCCGTCGATAATTACCGACGGACGATTAAATCCGTCGGTAATATTTACCGACCATCAAATTTCCGACGGATTTTTGGTCGTCGAAAATCCGTCAAGTAAATGAAAATTATCGACGGATTTTTTTATTACCGATGGATTTTGATCGTCGGTAATATTAAAATTTCTTGTAGTCACATTGTCTAGTATAGAATTTTTACCTTTTCTAAGTTTAACCTCTACTATTTTTATGTTTTTAAAGATCTTTAACATATGGAGATTTTTCAATTGCATGGAAAAAATTGAAAAGACATAATAAATCTTGAATTACCAAGAAAGTAACAAAACTATTTGAAGAAAATAATATGAATGGAATAACAGAGAAAGTAAAAGTTAAAAACAAAAATATTAATTTAAGAAATAAGAAAGGAAAAGTAGATAAGAAAAACTTCAAAATAGACAATTAGAGTAATTTTTGAACAATTTTTTCTCTTCACCAGTGAATTCATAAAAGGAATAGGTCAATAACTGGAAGGAGCGTATTTAGGCAATCGTTGAGTTCCATTTATGGTGGAACACACAAAAGCCACAAAACCAAAGCTTCCACGTAACACGGTCAACGGCTGAATTCCATCTTTGAAGGAGCTCTTATCACGTATAAATACAACCCCACTTCTGCATGGTTTCTCATTGCAATCTCCTCAAACAATAAACAGGGAAGGAAAAGCATCCTTCCCATCAGCCCTTTCTCTCCGATTTGGCTGCTCACTTTTGGTTGTCAGATTTGGAGAGAATCGGCCGATAAAAAAAAAAAAAATGAGTGGGAAAATAATCGGTGCCGGCGTTTCTCTCATCCTTTGTGTGGGTGTGGTCATTGGCGTGGTTGCTGTAGTTCAGAGCCCGAAGAACGAGACGAGCAGCACAGGACAATTAAAAACCACGAACAGGGCCGTGACGGCGTTGTGCCAAAACTCAGATGACCAACAATTTTGCCACAGTGTGCTTTCCACCACAAACAGCTCAGACCCTAAGGATTACATTGCCACCGTTGTGAAAACCTCGATGGACAGTGTCATCAAAGCGTTCAACATGAGCGACAGGCTCACAGTCGAACACGGCAACAGCAGCGCAGGAATGAAGATGGCTCTCGACGATTGCAAGGACTTGTTGCAATCCGCAATCCACGAATTGGAGGCTTCGGGTGTGTTGGTCCAAGAGAGCAACATCGACGCCGTTAACAACCACAGCTCCGAAATTAAGAACTGGCTAGGTGCTGTTGTTGCCTACCAGCAATCGTGCCTCGACGGGTTCAACACGGACGGCGAGAAGAAGGTTCAGGAACAGTTACAGTCCGATAGCTTGGACCAAGTTGGGAAGCTCACTGGCTTGGCACTTGATATCGTGTCGGGGATTGCGAAGATTCTTCAATCCTTGGACTTGAACTTGGCTCTGAAACCCGCCTCTCGTCGCCTTCTCGAGATTGATCAAGAGGGATACCCCACTTGGTTCTCCGCTGCTGATCGCAAGCTCTTGAATAACATTGATAACGGTGGAGTTATACCCCATGCTACAGTGGCTAAGGATGGCAGTGGCCAATTCACTACCATTTTGGACGCTATCAACTCCTATCCCAAGAAACACCAAGGTAGATTCATCATCTACGTCAAGGCTGGTGTCTATGATGAGTACATCCTTGTTGACAAGAAGAAGGTTAACCTTCTTATATATGGCGATGGCCCCACCAAGACCATCATAACCGGACGCAAAAACTACGCCGAGGGTACCAAGACCATGAGAACCGCTACCTTCTGTAAGTCCAACTTCCTCTCCTTCCGTCCAAACAAGAAAATATTTGGATAATATCTAGATCAATTATCATGTGTATCTCTGGTTAATTAATATTTTGAAAATTCGCAGCCACCGTTGCTGAAGATTTCATGGCGAAGTCTATTGCATTCGAGAACACCGCCGGAGCAGAAGGACACCAAGCAGTGGCTCTTCGCGTGCAGGGTGATCGTTCAGTGTTTTTTGATTGTGCAATGCGTGGTTACCAAGATACATTGTACGTACACGCCCACCGTCAGTTCTACCGTAACTGCGAAATTTCTGGAACAATCGACTTCATCTTCGGCTACGCTACCACCTTGATCCAGAACTCGAAGATCTTGGTGAGGAAGCCAGGCGTGAACCAACAGAACATAGTGGTGGCAGATGGAACACAGCAGAAGAACATGCCCACAGGAATTGTCCTCCAGAACTGTGAGATCATGCCCGACCCTTCACTGGCCGCTGATCGCTTGACCGTGAAGACATACCTTGCCAGGCCATGGAAGGCATTCTCCAGGGCAGTGTTCATTGAGAATGTGATCGGTGACTTGATCCAGCCAGTGGGATACATTCCTTGGAACGATCTTGAGCCCAACACCCAGGACTGTTACTTCGCTGAGTACGGCAACAGTGGACCAGGTTCCGTTGCTACATCAAGGGCACCCTTTGCAAAAGGTATCATCAGCAGGGAAGAGGCTGCCAAATACACTGCTGAGCCCTGGCTCCAAGCTAGCGCCTGGTTGCCTGCCGCTTCCGTTCCTTTTGACTCCAGCTTTACCAAAGCTTAAGTTTAAGTAGTTGAGAGAGACGTGTTGCATCATTTTGAGTGATGTAATCTCTTTTTAGCGTACGCAGATCCCCATAAAAAAATACATAAAATCAATTTGGCACTGCTTGCTTTTTAAATGCAGCTAGCTTTGTAGCCCATCGATTCTTGAACTGGTTTGAGGATGTGATTTGTAATCATTAATTAACCTTTTTATTTATTTCTTTTTAATTCATCCACTTTGTCTCCCCTTCTACTAGCATGCATGTAGGCTTATTATGACGGGAGAACCACCAAAACAATTCCTTTTTCTTCTTTTTCTATCCGATTATTATATTTAGCATATATGTTGTCATTTACACGATATAACACTAAAACAAATATCCAACTTGGTTCCATATTAATTCCACTAACGGGTGACTTTCAAATTTTCCAACCCCTCTCTATTCATCTAGAAATCTCTCTCTTTATCTTCCCTCTCTTTTATATTATATTTTTATTATTTTTCGGTTCTGGAAGGCCTTCAACGCGTTAGTATTAGAGGTCGATACTCCAACCACTAAACTACTCAAATTTTTTGATAGTAACTTACAAATAAATTATATTTATATACAAATAAATATATATCCGTGTAAATATATAAATATATAAATACAAATATATTTATATATTTTGATATATTTATATAATTATATATTTATATGTCTGGATGTGAGGGCACGCTTGAAGGAGGTGAAAGTGTGTGTCGAGTGGGTTTTCAAAATTTGATGCCAAATTTGTGAGTGGGTCTCTTTATATGGGTTTATAATTTAATGACGTAATATAATATTTATAATTTATTTATATAATGATATAAAATAAATTTGGGAAACGCATCATTCGCTCAAACGAAAAATACTAATTTTCGCTCAAGCGAGGCTTGAGCGAGTGAATTTTCGTGAGTTTTAACGTATTTTCACTCAAGCGAGAGTCAATCTCACTTTCACCCTCGAACGCGCCCTCACATCCAACATATAAATATATAAATATATAACTATATAAATATATATATATATATATATATATATATATATATAATATATATAAATATATATAAATATATCAAAATATATAAATATATTTGTATTTATATATTCTATATTTATATATTTACATTGATATATATTTATTTGTATATAAGTATAATTTATTTGTAAATTATTATAAAAAATTATAGTAGTTTAGTGGTTGGAGTATCAATTTTCAACTCTAAAATACTTGGATTTGAATCTTGTCAATGACAATTCTCTAACTTAAGTGAATTTTGGACTAAAAAAAATAAAAACATTTTCCAAAAAATATATATAAATAAATATATATTTACACGGATATATATTTATTTGTATATAAATATAATTTATTTGTAAGTTATTATCGGAAAATTACAGTAGTTTAGTGGTTGGAGTATCAACTTTTAACTCTAAAATACTGGGTTTAAATCCTGTCAGTGACAATTCTCTAACTTAAGTAAATTTTTGGCTAAAAAAAATAAAAACACTTTCCAGAAAATATATATAAATAAATATATATTTACACGGATATATATTTATTTGTATATAAATATAATTAATTTGTAAATTATTATCAAAAAATTACAGTAGTTTAGTGGTTGGAGTATCGAATTTCAACTCTAAAATACTCGGGTTTGAATCCTGTCGGTGACAATTCTTTAACTTATGAGAATTTTGGGTGAAAACACATTCAACGTTCGGTTCATCCGGGAGCCGACGTTGAATGTGTAAATTAAAAGACTTTCAACGTCGGTTCATCTAGAACCGACGTGGAAAGTGCTTTCTACGTCGGTTGACTAAGAACCGACGTAGAATGTGTCCAACATTCAACTTTCAATGTTGTTTTTTAACCAACCGACGTTGAAAGTGTATTTAACGTCGGCTCGACTTTAATCGACGTTAAATGGCGACGTTGAAAACGTATTTTGTAGTAGTGTATTTAACTACTTATTTATTTATATAAAAGTTGAATCTTATCACTCTTTTTCTCTCTATATGCTAACTCCCATTAAATTCTATATTTATATTTAAAATTTATTTATTATAAGATAAATTTTTTACCAACGTAAAGAATATTTGTGTTATTTCTAATAACACTACAACATGAAAGACATGTAATAGCGGTTCCACATGTTTTATAATAACGATTAAAAACGATATGTTTTATAATAACGATTAAAAACGTTATTAAATGAGGCGCTAATAAAAGAATGACGTTTAGATAGCAATTAACTAACCGTTTATAATAGTGGTTAACATGAAACCGTTATGCAAACTCTTAAAAACACTACAACAAAAATGGGCTTATGCGACGACACTTTAGATAGCAGTTAATAAAAATCGCTTTTAAACATACATATTAGATAGCGGTTAGGAGTAAACCGCTCTCTAAAGTATGTTTTAATAACGGTTCAGAAAGAACCGTTTTCTAAAATAATTTATAATAGCGGTTGTATGATAACCACTATCTAATGTCATACTTTTAAAGAGCGGTTGACACGTGGAACCGCTATCATAACTTTAGACAGCGGTTACTTCGTGGGACCGCTATAATAAATGTAGTTTAGATAGCGGTTATTTGGCCAACCGCTATCTAAAGTCATATTTTTTTTGAACCCTACCCCCACTTTCTTCAACCTCGCGCTCTTTGTGTCTACGTTTTTTTGCCGCTCTCTGCGCTCTCATTCTCGCTCTCTGCGCTCTCTTTCTCGCTGTTTGCGTCTTCCATTAAGCTAAAGGTACGTTCTTTGTATTTTCAATCTTTTTGATTCTCTTGCTCTCATTGAAGCTTATTACATTGTAATATATTTGTGTGTCGCCAAGTTTGCGTTCCAGTCTCCATTCGCCATTGTTGTTGTAGGACGCGCTTATTGGGAGTTAGTGCATTATATATTTTTTAGTGTTTAGGGTTTAGAGTTTGTCTACATTGTGATATGAAATTGTGTTTTGAAATAGAATATAGGTTGGCTAGGATATATAGATGGTTTAGTGTGACCATGAAATATTTTGTATTAGAGATTATGTATGATGTTTTTGCTAATAGTTTTTGTATTAGAGATTAAGTATACAGTATAATGTTTAGTTAACAAATGATAATTATGACATGGAAAACTTTATTCTCAAATGGGATAGGGTCATACCCTGTGAGACAAAAATAGTAGATAACATATGGATGTAACAAATTTAGTGTGCCTCAGGTAAATATGGATCGAAGTTGGATGAAAGCCGGTCGTTTGAGCAAAGTATATGAAGATGGAGTGAAGGAGTTTATTCAATTTGCAATTGACCATAGTCATGACCGAAACCTCATTTGTTGCCCTTGTTGGTGTTGTTTGAATATGATGCGAGTAAATTTTGAAGAGTTGGAAGAACATCTAATGTGTAATGGAATTAATGATCAATATATAAATTGGACCAAACATGGTGAGATAAAAAGAGATATTTCGTCACTTAGGATGGATGTAAATAGCTTTTACTCGGAGACATTAAATTCTGAGGAAAATGATCATGTTGAAGACATCCCCAATGTTATTGAAGAAGATCTTAGAGACTGTCCAAGGATGTTTGAGCGATTGAAAGATGATGCAGAAACACCATTGTACTCAGGATGCCCAAATTTCACAAGACTGAGTGCCGTTTTGAAGATCTACATTTTAAAAGCCTCACATGGATGGAGTGATAAGAGTTTTACTGATCTGTTAAGCTTAATAAATGACATGCTACCAGAAGACAATGTCCTACCTAGGAGAACATATGATGCAAAGAAAATCCTTGGTTCCATTGGTTTAACTCATGAAAAGATCCATGCATGTCCTGATGACTGTATTTTGTTTCGAAATGAGTATGAATCGTTTACAGAATGTCCAAAGTGTAAGGCATCATGATATGTCAAGAAAAAATCTACACCAGCTAAGGTTATGTGGTATTTTCCAATTATACCAAGGTTAAGAAGGTTTTTCCGCAGTCCTGAAACTGCAAAGCAGTTTAGTTGGCATTCGGAAGGTAGGATTATAGATGATAAGCTTAGGCATACAGCAGATTCTCCTCAGTGGAAAAGATTTGATGATGAATATGAAGACTTTGCAGTTGAAACAAGAAATATACGTTTTGCCTTAGCAATTGATGGAATGAATCCTCATGGAATGCAAAGTAGCACACATAGTACATGGCCGGTGATTCTAATTTTGTATAACTTACCTCCTTGGATTTGCATGAAGCGAAAATACATGATGCTTTCATTGTTAATCTCTGGTCCTAAACAACCCGGTAATGACATTGATGTGTATTTATCTCCTTTGATTGAAGATTTGAAGATGTTGTGGGATAGCGGTGTTGAGGTCTATGACGGGTTCAAAGAAGAAACATTCACAGTTAGGGCTATGTTATATGGTACAATTAATGATTTTCCTGCATATGGAAATCTTTCTGGATATAGCATAAAAGGACAATGTGCATGTCCTGTATGTTGTAATAATACTGATTATATTAGGCTTGGTAATTGTCATACGAATGTTTTTATGGGTCATCGAAGGTGGTTGCCATTAATCAACCTTTTAGAAGAATGAAAAGGCATTTAATGGAGATACTAAAGAGCGAATATGTCCCTATTTCAAAACTGGAGATCAAATCTTTGAAGAGGTAGAACATATTAAAACGAATTTTGGTAAACCGTTTGCCAAAGAACTGCCTACTGAAGGTTGGAAGAAGAAGTCTATTTTTTTTGAGTTACCATATTGGAAATCACTTTATGTTAGACATTTTATTGATGTCATGCATGTTGAAAAAAATATATGTGAAAGTTTTCTTGGTACGTTATTGAACATGCCAACAAAGAAAAAAGATGGCATCAATGCGAGGTTGGACTTGATGAATATGGGAATACGATATGAATTGACACCAATTAAAAAAGGAAAGCGAACATTTTTACCACCGGCAGCATTTACTCTTTCTAGAAATGAGAAACGTGTATTTT